AGCCCAAACACTTTTTATCTTTTTGTCATGGGATTCTCTCCTTCCCACAGAGCAGGGCTGCTGGAAAAGTGGTATGTCACTTCTGCACAGGGCTTTACAATTAGGCTTGCCCACATTATGAACCATGCTCCAAAAGACAATGACTGAAAGCCAGTATTAGATTGCAAATAGAGTAAGTCCATTGAATCAATTGCTCCAAAAGACAATGACTGAAAGCCAGTACGTATTAGACTGCAAATAGAGTAAGTCCATTGAATCAACTGAACTTATAGAGTTGACTCACCAAATCCCCACTGATTCAATAAGCCTACTTCAGTTGTGACTGACTGCTAGATTTCAGCCTCTGATTACAAAGCTATGCATCATCATCATCATGTACTATCAAGTCAACTCTGACTTATGCAGACCCTTTTCAGGGTTTTCTAGGTACACTCAGGAATAATTTACCATTGTCTTCTTTTGGGGGCACCCTGTGCTTGTGCAGCTTGACTTAAGGCCACACAGGCTCTTCTCCTTAGAGACATAGCGGGGAATTAAATTCTTAACATCTGCCTCTGCAGCCAGATATGTGACTCGTTAAACTATACATGCTTAAAAAGCATGACAAAAAAAATCTTTTTGCTCTTTTTTATTCGTCTCAGAATATTGCACAATTTAAAATTATGGACATAGATGAAATATATGTAAAATTAAAACAAATTAAAATATTGATCTAATTAGATTTATTTGACCAGACATGGGCTACTTCAATAGTGTTATTTTGGCTATTTGCTAGATTTTTTAAATAGATGTGGTGGGGCATAAACTGCATGCATTTAAGTGCTGCACTAACTGAATTTCTCCACAATCACAGAAAATTTGTCCTGTACCTAGGTAACCATATTTTACTTGATTATTCCTAATTTGTTTTGAAGTATATTAAGTGACTTCTAGATGGTCCACCTAGAGTCTTGTCCTGGTCAGTGACACTCTTCAGCGTTCATCCATTTGGCAAGGTGTGTTGTTTGGTTCTCCACAGTTTTAGCTTTCTTCTGGAGGGCACCCTGGGATTGTGCAGCTTGCCCAAGACCACACAGGCTAACTGTTCTCCCTGAAGGCACAGTGGGGAATTGAACTCCCAACCTCTACCTCCACAGCCAGATTCTTAACTCACTAAGGTATCCTTGCTTAAAAGGTATCACAAAAACAAAACAAAACAAAATCTTAAGACTCATACATTTATTTCAGTGTGAATTTTTATGTACTGTACTGTATTACAATCCCTATTCTTGGATACATGGGATACAGTATTAAGGCATAGCTTTGTATACGCAGAATAGGATATGTGAAGAAGGATACAGAGAATATACTTTCAAAATGGCAATAGCATTATTAATACAAGTAACAAACTTTCAGAGAATTTATAACATAAACCTTTAGACAATCATTAGAATCATTAACCAATGTAGAATCTCTACAAGCTAGCACAAAGGTTATCTTTGCCAATAATAAAAAAATAAAAAAAATCTGCTTTCAGTAACAACTGGATTCTTTCTGAGGCCAAAGATTTGGAAAGAAAATATATTTCATCTATGCACAAAAATGAGTGAAAGTTTACTTACTAATATACTTATATAGTAAACTGAGAAGTCCCAGGGTTTTTTAAAAAAAGCATTTAGATGCACACTGGAAGTGATGGACATAACCCACTTTAAATATCCCTTTGTAATTGTCCCCAACACCCTGTAATATTTAGTTTCAGATCAGTGAAAGTGTTCCGGGCAGTTGAAATGTTCTGAAACTAGATTTTGTAGCTTTAAGTGGAGATTTCTGTCCATTGTTCTTTGCCACAGATTGTTCTGTCTGCCTCATGTAAAATACCAAGGGGTGTGCTGCCAAAGGATGCATAGATTGCATTAGAAAATGAACAAACAAATGGGCATCAAGGTTTGTAGCAGAGTCTTGTTCCTGTATCCATGTTATGTGACCGGTTGTGTATCACTAATTGCTTGCCAGGGGTTCTGTCTATAAGCAAGCACATCCAAGTTAGGAGAGGGATCTTATTGTCCAGAATGGGCTGTAGCTTTTTGTCAATATTTGTGAGTATTTTCAGCTGTTAGCGATAACAAACAGTATTCTGTATTGTACTCCACACATCTGAGGAAGTGGACTGCAATCCACAAAAGTGCACACTGAAACAAGCCTGTGAATCTTAAAAGTACCACCACAGTTTTGCTCTTGAAAGAGAGTAACACAGCTATCTCCTTGAAAATTACTTTAAATACATGCACAATCCATGGTGTTTAGCTTAATGAAGTGGAATCTTCACAAAAGTTTGTTTGAATTTTTTTTAGTGGTCCCATAATGATACCATGTAGTCTTACATTTGTGTAATCTTAACAACCACACAAAACTTTCCTTATTTTTTTTCTGGAATATGTAAGATATCATTAATGATCACCTACAAGACAACACGGACTATAGTCACCAGCTGAGTGGACTCTTGCCATCAGCCAGACACAACTATAAACCGAAGAAACATTTGCCTATGCTCACCCGGTAAAAACATTAATTTTGACTTTAATTTTGCTTTAATTAGGTTCTAACTAGTGAATAAACTAAATTAAAACCCTAATCTTGTGCTAGAGGCTGCTATGTCTCTGTGATGCTCCCCCCCCCCAGCCCACATGAAATTTGTGTTTTTGGAAGCAGATAATGCGGATGTGTGGGAAAGGATATCACAAAACTCTTGGCAAATCTTTTGGTCTTAAGACCAGGTGTAAAATTCCAACCATACTAAAAGGGATTATGCTTGAGACTGTACCTCTCCCCCACATGACATCTGCAATCTAAATCTGAAATCACCTCTCCAAACAGATTGGCACAGACATCTACCATCAATTTTTGGACTCTTATCTACATTTTTTCTGCACTGTCTATGGATTGACGGTGCTTAATCTGATGAAGTGGAATCTTCTTCATGAAAGCTTTGAATTTGGTTTATTTTTTAAGTAGTTCAATAAAAAATATCGCCCACTCTTACATTTGGAAAGAAACACATCTGAAATAGTGTGCATTGCTTCTGAGTAACATGCACAGAATGGCTATGTCTTATCAAGACATAATGGCAAATATGTTCTTCCGTATATTCTTGAATTGCAACTATTCCAGCTCTAGCCAGACTACAAAAGGAAAATTTCTAAAGCTTTAGAGAGCATACAGAACTAACAGTATCTGTTGAGCTAATAATTAATGGCTGAATGAGACACTAGAGCACTTATTAATACTGTTACTCTTTTTGTTGTTCTCCCTGATATGATCATGGTTTCTCTGATTCTAGATACAGCAGCTCTAAACAATATATCCTAACCACTTTTGGAAGTTCTTCCGCCATTATGTCAGGAACAACTAGAGCACTTATTAATACTGTTACTCTTCTTGTTGTTCTCCCTGATATGATCATGGTTCCTCTGATTCTAGACACAGCAGGTCTAAACAATGTATCCTAACCACTTTTGGGAGTTCTTCCGCCATTATGTCAGGAGCGGGCAATTAATTTCTATAGGGGGCCACATGAAAAATCTGAACTGTGTTCGGGGGCCGAACCAACTTTAGGTAAAAATAAAATGAAACCCATTGGGTGAGGTCCTGCAGTGAATGAACTACTAGTGAGGTCCTGCAGTGAATGAACTAGTTTATGTGAGCGTTGTAATTCGTTCACCGCGGGGGGAGGGGGGAGAAAAAAACACAAAACCCCGACACTGACTTAACTCACCTGTCCTCCGTTCCCCCATGGCCTTCCTCTCCAACTGTCTTCTATCCCGCACAGGCGACGTGATGCGTCATCACGTCGCCTGCACAAGGATCGCTTCCGGCCTCTTGAGCCACAGGCTGCGGAGCCTGCGGCTCAAGAGTAACAGTCAAAACTTGTGAGATCCCAGCATCGGATCTCACGAGTTTTGCTTATTGCCGTGCTGGGTGACCGGAGCTGGAGCTCTGGCTCACTCAGCAGTGATGGGTGGACTGGACAGGAGTGATGACCGGCAGGCTGGACAGGAGCAGCTCGCGGGCCATATTTGGCCCACGGGCCGCACTTTGCCCAGGTCTGCATCATGTTATTCTCCTTCCTGCATATTTTCTTTCATTTCTTTTACACTGACATATCATTTGTGATAATCTCTACTTCTGCTTTCTCATTACATGACTACTGTATTCCACTTTTCTGTGTTTTATATATTTTGTTTCTTGGTTTTCATTCATTCATCTTAGTAGTTCACTGGTCACTCTCTCATCCCAACACATTTTTAGCATCCTGTGATCCTTATTTTATATGTTTCTCTTTTTTGTAACATTATTGCTCACATACTTAAAATTGGAAACTTTGTTTAAAGTCAGATTCTCTATGATTCAGCTAGACTGCATGGAAAGTACTGCACTCGTTTTTGCTTCTCACTGAATTATCAAATTATTCATTAAATTATGATACTAAAAACTGATATTTAATCTTCTTGCTACATGGGAGCTACATTTATTAATAAAATTTCTAGAGTTTCAATATCTCACTGTCAATTTTAGGATAAGAAATGAAAAACCATATTGTTTCTAATTTTCATTCTGTAGGCAAAAAAGTTCAGCCAATAGTTAACAATTTTTTCCAGATCACACTATAGAATAAAGGTTTATTTCATATCAAGTTTTAAAGCAGACAAATGGATAATCACTGCTCTTCAGGTCAGAATTCAACAGGCATACACCTGTCTTCCATTCTGAAGTAGCATGGCAAATAATCGTTCCCAGCTTATCCATTTAAATCCTTAAACTTCCCACTAGTTCAAACTTTCATTCACTTTGAACAAACGCTCCAACATTTGCATCCTAATGATTCAATAGGTCTTTTTTAGTGGAGACTAAAAACTGGATTATTTTGTTATTGTAGCATTAAGAATTACAATTATTTTTCAATAATATTCCAACTGTAAATTTCTCTCTCTCACTCACTTGCACACACCCCCCCAAGTTACCTGCTGGTAAATGTGTTCAACCAGTTCTTGTAAAGCTTCATCTGTAGTAACACAGCCATTTAATGTTTCTGAAAAATGTGCTATTTCAGTTTCAAAACAAGCTGGCTGCTCTGCAAGATGGTTTAAAAAATCCTGCACGTATTCTGTTATTGTTGGATATCCACCATTACCATCTTCTGAAGAGGATTCCTAAAAGTAATTAGAGAAACTTTCAAATTAAACTTAACATTACTATTTCTCATTAAAACAGCTTCAACTTTATCTTTCCAGTTCCTTACTTAATATTGATATATAGGGGGAAAAATTACCATTCCATAAATCTACAATAATAGTTGCAAATAAGAAATCAAGTTTTATGAATTCAACGAAACGAAATACCCCTAATGGACTCTTTTTCTTTCTGTACACATTGGATACATGGAATAGAAAATGTACATAACTGTGGTAGACAATATTTGATATTAGCACAAATGAAGCAGTTGAAATGCCTTAGGCAATATTTCAGAGGCCCCCAACATCCACCTCTCTTGTCAGAAGGTGCTGCAATTGCTTCAGGTAACCACAAGTACAGTACTGTACTCTGGTAATGTCTGCACAGCAAGCAAAATATGCCGTTTTTCTACACTCTGTAGCCCTGGCCTCAGCTGCTTGATGGAAAAAAGGAGAAGAGGAAGGCCACATAATGAGAGCTCTCGAATACTGAGTAATGAATACAATAGTTTTGTAGATAAGTGCACAGGAATTCTATCATTAACCGAGTTTTAGCTATGGTCTAAAATAAGGGAAAAAGGCAACTTTCATAGAGATTCCCTACCTTGTCACCCAGAGAAATTTTCTTAGTCACACTCAATTACAATGGTGCCTCGCAAGACAAATGCCTTGCAGGACAAAAACTCACAAGACAAATGGCTTTGGCAATGAGGTTGATGACTCGCAAGACAAATGTTCCTATGGCGGTGCTTCGCAAGAAGAATGTTTTCCGTTTTCTGTTCCTGCCTCATGTTTGCTGATTTTTAAATGTTTTTCTATGATGTTTAAAAAGTTAAAGTTTTTTGATTGAAATTTTTGAAATCATCTGCAAAATATGTATGGCTTTAAAGAGCACTTAATAAACCCTTTGTAAACCAAATTTAACTTGTTCTGACTTTTTTTGCCTACAGAATGCATTAATTACATTTCAATGCATTCCTATTGGAAAACGTGTTTTGCAAGACAATTTTTTTGCAAGACAACATTAACCACGGAATGAATTAAATTCGTCTTGCGAGGCATCACTGTACATGCTTGCTTACAAACATACAATAATAGCCTGGATTCTAAACTACAGAATCTTCGGTCCAACTGTCTCATTTTGGATACAGAAATCCTTCTGCCAGTGGACAATGGTTGGGGCAAGATTTCCCCTCCTACCTTCCCATTTTGCCTTAGAATCAACCCCAGGAGACATAAAAATAATTTGGAGCTGATTTTTCAGTAGCTCAGAGGACTGCCAAGAAGTGTGTGTGTGTGTGGGGGGGGAGAGGAAGCAAGTCCTGTTATGCTTGTTATGTTTTATAATGCAACCTTGGATTAAACAGAAAATCCTCTGCATACCTACTTTCTTAATACTAAGAGCAACTTTGAGCAGTACATTTCTGCAGTAGGGGTTGGATAAAGACAAAACCATTACAATTCTATTACAGTAACGAAGATTAATCTTAATGAAAAAAGGTAACCATAATATAGCTTTCATAAATCCTAAAATACCCAATAATCATAGACATTTGTGAGCATTATGACTTAACAGAAATCTCCAAGCAGGAAGCTTAAAACTAAAATATTGCTAACAGATGGGTTAAAAGCTTTAAATAAAGGAAAGACCACCAGGTTTTGAGGTAGCCCATTCCACCGTTAACCAGCTCTTACTATTGAGAAATCCTTTCTACTGTTTGGCCAAAATCTCCTTTCTTGAAATACAAAGTTGCTAATTTGTACAATACTCTTTATAGCAAAAGAAAAGAAGCTGAATTAATTTTCCACATAATATTTATATTTGAAAATGTCTACCATATCACACCTCAGTCTTCTCTTCTACAGCCAAAATATTACCTAAACTCTCAAACAATCTTTGATTTCCAGATACTGTATGTTACCACGTCAACTGCCCTCTTCTGGGCACCTTCCAGTCTGATAATGTCTTTTTAAAAGTGTATTATCTAGAACTGATGGTAATTTTCCACATAATATTTATATTTGAAAATGTCTACCATATCACACCTCAGTCTTCTCTTCTACAGCCAAAATATTACCTAAACTCTCAAACAATCTTTGATTTCCAGATACTGTATGTTACCACGTCAACTGCCCTCTTCTGGGCACCTTCCAGTCTGATAATGTCTTTTTAAAAGTGTATTATCTAGAACTGATGGTAAGGTCTGACCAAGGCAGGATAGAAAAGCAGTATTATTGTTCTTGATCTAGACAGTATACTTCTGTTGATCTGTTAGCTCCACATTAACATCTTTTGCTGCAGCATCATACTGAAATCGCCCATAGGGAAAAACGTTATACGAAGCACAATTTGACTCTGAAAAAATAAACGTTAAGCAAAAAAAACGTTAAACGAAGCAAACGTTATGCAAGGCACCACTGTACTTCTGTTGATCTGTTAGCTCCGCATTTACATCTTTTGCTGCAGCATCATACTGTATTCTCAACTCATGTTTTGCTTGTGCCCCATTAAGATTCCTAGATCCTTTAAACACATTATTGCAGCTGTCATCCATCCAATATCTGAGCATTTGATTTTTCCTTCCTAAATGCTTTTCTATTTCCCCTATTGAAAATACACTTTGTTTGTTTTGGCCTACTTCTCCCATCTACTAAGATTACCTTGAATCCTGATTCTGTCTTCTGAAGTATGAGCAACCTCTCTAAGTTTGGTGTCTTCTGAAAATCTGATGTTTAATACTTCATTGAAGTCCTCCAAAGTCTACTCCTTCATCCAGGTCACTTATAAAGATGTTGAACAATTCCAGGTCAGGAGCAGGGCCTTGTTGCACCCCACATGTCACTTCTCTCTACTATGATAAGGAACTTTTGAACTCTTTGAATATTCCCCCTAACAGTAGAGGGAATATTGACCTAACAGTAGCACTGTCTAGCACACATGACTCATTCTTGTGAAATGAATGTCAGCTCTTAGTAATCATCATATTCTTTTGTAAGTGCTTGCAGGTTGACTAATTAATTTCTTGTTTAAAAATATTTCCTATTTTTGGTGACAAGTCAGTAGTTGCCCAGATGTTCTGTCTTCTGTTTTTGAAGATGGGAATGACTTCTGTCTGCCTCAAGTCCTCAGGCATCTCAATTGTTCTCCAAGACTACAGACAGAGACTTCAAGATTACATCTACAATTTACTTTAGCAGCCTTGGATGCAGTTCAGCTGTTTTGGATACCTGAATTTATTTAAAGTTGCTGGGAATTGATAAACCACCTCTTCACCTATCATAGGCAACAGCCCCCGACACTGTCTACTTTATTCTACTTGAACATTGTTTTTCTTTTGAGAAAGATGGAGATGAAATAGGTGTCAAATAATTCTGTATTCTCGCTCTCATCTATTAGCATTTCCCATCTTTTCCCCACAGAAGCTTCCTTGTTCTTTCCCTTATTACATTCATAGCTGAAAACTCCTTTCTGCTATTTTTAACTTTTGCTGTAAGTCTGAACTTATTCTGAATGCTACCATTCTTGAAATAAATATTCACTACTCACTTATATTCTTTCAGGAAGAATATACTGGAAGGAACACCCCCCCCTTTGAAATCTCAGCTCATTTGAAAACTCTTTATGCAGCCTCCTCAGTTTCTTTAAATGCCTCAAATTTTTCTATCTGGTAGGTATTGTCTGTGACTATGCTTTCAATATCTCATCTCTGATAAATTTCCATCTCCTGTAAACTCACTTCTGAGTATTCCTGTCCATGGCAGTCTCATTCAAGATTTATGTTAGCTCATGGATATCAGTTTTCTTAAAGTCTAGAGTGCATATCTTACTAATTTCAGAGCTCCATTTTCTCAGTAACACACGTCCCAAGAGGGCCTTATATTTTCACCTACAGTTTCTACCATTTCCATCTCACTGAACGTTGCAGTGAGAGCCAAACCCAGGACAGCTGATTTCCTTGTTGCTTCTTCTACCTTCTGGAAGACAAACCTTTCAGCGTGACAAGAAGGAATTTGTTAGAATTTACATCCTTGACAAAACTGGATTTCTAACACATATCAACACCATTTGAAGTCTCCCATTATTATGATGTTTTCCTTCTCTTTTCTTTCTGAATGTTTGGTAATCTGATCTAGGAGAGCATCATCCAAGTCTTCACTCAGAGGTCTGTATTACACACCTAACAAGGATATTCACATTGTCTTCCTCTCCTTTGGTTTTTGCCTAAATATAACAGCCTTCAACTCCAAGCCACGGATCTCTCTGGATCTCTATGATCTACTTCACAAGTACTGCTACAACAACTCTGTTCTGTTCCTTTTTACCACGTTATACCCTTCAGCTATAACATTCCAGCCATGAGACTCATCCCATCAGATTCCGCTAACGTCCATTACATCATATATGCCATCCTATGTTGGTAATTCAATTTCATTTTATTTTTCTACCATGCTCTGTTGTTGTTATATGCCATCAAATCATTTCCAAGTTATGGCGAAGAGCAATCTCCAAAATGTCCTGTCCACAACAGTCCTGCTCAGCTATTGCAGTCTCAGGTCTGAGGGTTCCTTTAGAAAGTCAGTCCATCTTGTATTTGGTCTTCCTTTTTTCCAGTTGCCATCCACCTTTACTAGCATTATTGTCTTTCCAGAGACTCCTGCTGTCTCATGATACAGTGGTGCCCCGCACAGCGACGTTAATCCGTTCCAGGATTAACGTCGCTATCCAGATTCGTCGCTATGGGGGGGGGAACTCACTGGTAAGCAAAGATTCCCCCATCCGGCCGCCATTTTCGCTGCCTGGTAAGCAAGGGCAGGGCGCGAAAACGCTGCGGGTGGCCATTTTCTGCACCCAGCGGCCATTTTGGAACCGCCGATCAGCTGTTTTCTAAACCTCGCAATGCGAAACGCTTACCGATCATCGCAATGCAATGTTTAGCCTATCTAAACATCGCAATGTGATCGCATTAGTGATCGCAAAAAAGCGTCACTATGCAGATTTGTTGTTAAACGGTGCACTCGTTAAGCAAGGCACCACTGTATGCTCAAAGTAGGACAGCTTCAGTTTCATAATTTTGCCTCTATCCTCCTTCCTATGGAAGACTAGTCTTCCTTCCTGACAGGATTTGGTAACAGATGCAAGGCAAAGTACTTACGAGCACATTATATCTTTGAAACAACTAGTAACTAGTAGCCAAATACATATATTTATGAGAATTAATGCCAAATCAAATAATCCAGCACTAAAGCATTTTTACTGGCCCATATCCTATAGATCCTTTTATAAGGTATGAAGAACTTCCTGTGGCTAACTGATGACATTCCTGAAGCTGTACCTAACTGTGCAACCAAGATATGCCCTGCACTTGATCAATTAGCTACTGCAGGTTCTACAAATCTGACACAAAAATCAACAGCATTTTGACCACTATAAACCAACAACAGAAGAGTATTGTTGCTAAAAACAGGTAAATACAGTGGTGCCTCACATAGCGATCGCTCCGTATAGCGATCAAATAGCTTTGCGATGGACTTTTTTCCATCGCAAGAGCAATCGCTTTGTGATGGCCCCTATGGGGAAATTTCGCTTTGCGACGATCGCAGGGAAGCAATCATCGCAAAGCCCCCATTTTCGGCCAGCTGATTGGTGGTTCCAAAATGGCCGCCTGCTGTTTTGCCTCGCTTTAGAGGCACCGAAAATGGCCGACGCAATGGAGGATTTTCGCATAAGGTTAGTTTTTAAGTCCATAGGAACGCATTAAATGCGTTTTAATGCATTTTTATGGGCTTTTAAAAATTGCTTAGCAGCGATTTTTGCTGCACCGATTAACATTGCTAAGCGAGGCACCACTGTATTATTAACTATACCAAGACAGAACATCTTTTATTAAAAAAGCCCTGTTCACTAGTATATGTTTGAAAAGAGAGAGACATGACTATCTTTCCAGGAATGCAGAAATATGGAAGCATACTGAAAGGTATGGTACACTGGCAGCTGCACCATATTAAAACCACACATGATTCTGTATATGAAGTAGGTTAAGAATTTTTTAGATGAAGTAAAAATAATGATTTTTAAAATAACCTCATATCACTCAGCAATAAAAAGGTATAAGCTGTCTTGAAGCATTTTCTGAATATTTCAGTAGACGAATGATGTTGTCTGCTGCTTGCTTAGCTGAATTAATTGAAGACTTCTAAAAAGAAGTTTTTTAAAAAATAGGTACCACAGCACCTTGTGAAAAAAATCCGTTTCTTTATATTGTTTGATGCTTAAAGTCCTCGACAAGATCAAGGGAAATTGTGAGCTAGAATGCCTGGAAGTCAAAGCTTCCCCCCCCCCCAACAATATATACACTTACTTTATTTGCTTGGAAAGGAAACAGAGAGACAACAAAGTTTAATACTTACTGTAAGATTAGGAGTATATCCTGAGGGGTAAAATTCAGGTGCATCAACTGAAAGCTTTGATATTCCCTTCGGAGCCATAACCACCAGCGGTTTAGCCATTGCTGAACTGGCGCAATTTTTTTCTGATACAGACGTAGCTCTTGCCTGATCTGAAAGATGATTAAAATTGCAGTTTAAAATGCAAGTATGTTAATGTAGCATGCCTCAATTAATACAATAACGACAACTAAAGTCATTTATTTCTGATCTTATATTATAAACAGATTCTGACAGACCATACAATACTGCCCAGCTATTTTAAAATTATAAACCAGACAAATAACTATGAGTTTAATTCAGATGTTTCATCTTTAGATGTGCGAATAAAGCAGAAGAATATATTTTAATTCGGTTCTATTCTATTTCAGTTACATCTCACACTTCAAGTTACCGTAAACACAGAAAGCATGCATTTTGTAAAGAGAAGCAAGCATACTCCTTACAGTTTTACAGTCACAACCTCACAAATATTCTCATATTGTTAATAACAACTTACCTGCATAATGAACTAAAATTTCTAACAGTATTGATTATATTGGCCAACATTGTTTGCATACAGTTACATCCATGCAAAGTTGATGTCATCAGTTGCTGGTTTTTATTGCTCAATAGAAGTTTACTATTTCTTCTCTCATAAGCTTCTGAGGCTCCCCTCAGGATCTCTTTTGACACAGGGAAACCTTTGGGAGCCTCAGGAGAAGTGGGGAGGGGGGAAGTCTTTAATGCCTGAAAAAATGTGCTGATGGTTCTGCCAAGGGATCAGGGCCATTAGCGACAATTTTGGGATTTTAAAATCTCCCTCATCTGAAGGCTTCCAAAAGCTTCTTCAGGGTCCCAAGGGAGGCTCAGAATTTGAAGAATAGAAGATATTTAATGAGTGATAAAAGCTCACAGTCAATGATATAATTAGCTTGCATGGACATAACTTTATACAAGACTTTGCTATTAAGGTCTTAAATTGTTATATAGTTATTTGAAGGGACAAGTGTTAAACAGTAAAATAGCTAATGCAAGGGAAGGGACAGGTTAAAAAGACAGCTGAAGCAGAATATCTTCTTCTATTAGATCTGGACTATCATATTTTTCCATGTATAAAATGACACTTTTCCCTAAAATAATTAGAAGAAAAATTGAGGGTCGTTTTATACATGGAAGGAGGCAGTCGCACGAGTGCTTGGGTGCCTCTTGCTGCCGCTGCCACCGCTGCTCAATTACCTCTTCCAGAGCTCACCGCTTGTTCCCTCTGGTGGCCCCGAGGCAACAGCAGGAGGCAGAGACGGAGGTGAAGGAGCATTCATATGCGCTTGGGCGCCTCTTGCTACTGCCTCCCCCGCCCACCCAATCACTACCTCCAGTGGGACTGACGGGATCAGCTCACGTCGCGACCTTGTCCGCTGCGGTGGCAGAGGTGGAAGGCAAACAACCACTTGCACGCACTCGGGCGCCTCTTCCTGCTGCCGCTGCCAGATCATCTCCTCCAGCGATCGATCGTCTCCTTAGGGCAGGGGACAAGGCGGTGACATGAACTGGAGGTGAGGCCCGGCAGTCGCACTAGAGGAAGTGATCGGTCGAGCAGCGGAGACAGCAGCAGCAAGAGATGGAGATGGAGAAGTAGTTGCCCATTAACTGCTCCCCTGCCTCCATCAAGGGTCAAAATTAGGGGGTCGTTTTATACATTGGGGGGTCATATACATGGAAAAATACGGTAGATCTCTAAAAGAATACAAAAAGCAATTTACAGGCAACAAAGGGCACTATGCTAGTCTCACAAAAGTTACCATCTGCTAGGTGCAGACAAAAATTGGGAAAGGAGTACGACAAGGCTGTAAATAGTCTCCCTGCTTATTAACTTATATGCAGAATACATCATGTGAAAGGCAGGACTGGATGAATGCCAAACCAGAATTAAGATTCCCGGGAGAAATAACAACCTCAGATATGCAGATGATACCACTCTGATGGCAGAAAGTGAGGAG